TGCCTGCCGCTGCCCCTCCAGTGTCAGCAGCACCACCGCCACCGTGTTGTTTCTGCCTCTCCATGGCCCGCCAGCGCCCGAGCTGCCCAACAGCCTTCTGTGCCACGATGCTGTCACGACCCTTTATGTAGTGGCGGCGCCAGACAGCAACAGAATTTCCCATGATGAGTGCATCCCCTGCGAGGGCTTCCTCCTGGTCTGCCACATTGTCCACCAGGTCTTTGAACCTCACAGTGGCATGGAGGTGCCTAAACTTCATGGGGCAGAATACTGTCGGCCAGGGTGCACCATACTTCCTTTGAATAAGCTTCCATTCGTCCGTGAATGGGGCGTCGACACCTGCAACCGGCCTGCCCTTCCTGTCAAGGAACAGGAAGGGAGGCTCCTTGCTGGCATCGTCAATGCTGGGATTCATGTTGAGGAGCGCTGGCCGGGCATACTCTGTGTAAGTCCGGATGTGCTGGGAGAGCGTCGAAGGGAGCACAATTCTCAGGGCCTCATCCTTCTTAAAGCGCTCCGTCTTGTGATGGATGGTCTCCATCACAAGACGACGGCCCCTGCTGCTGCTGCTCCTGCTGCTGCTGCTGCTAGCGCCATGGCTGCCATCCGCCCCTGCCCCTGCCCTTGCTACAGGAATCACCTCGACCAGGTTGTTGCCGCGGCAGTCCATCTGGAAGCAGTCTTGCTGCTTGCAGGTCTGCATGCCTGGCACCATCAAGGTGCTCAACACGGACAAGCGGACAGGCGGAATGTAGACACCAGATATCATCTCCGCCAGCAGCGCATGCATGAGCAGGACAGCGGTGCTGTAAGTGACGGGCCCATCAGGCCCAGCAGCAGCAAGGTCTTTCTCCAGCATCGCCTGTGCCTTATCCCACAGCGCACGCACAAAAGATAGTACCTCACTTTTGCTAGGCAGACCATCATCATCAGGCGGGGAAGCGGTTGTTGGTGGTGCTGCAGCTGCTGGCTTCTTCTTGGTGGCTGCTGTCTTGGTGGCAGCTGGGTGATGCTTCACAGCAGCAGCAGCAGCAGCAGCAGCAGCAGCAGCAGGACCACCACCACCACCACCAGCAATGGCACACATTTTGGACTGCTGCCGCTGGTGGTTCACCACCACCTCCGAACCCTTGTCCTCCTCCTCTGCATCCCCTGTCTCCTCATCACTTGTTACCACCAGTGTAGGTGGTGGTGCCGCCTTGGCAGCTCTTGGGTAGTTCCTCCGCACTTGTTGCCTCACCACCTTGAGCCACTCATGCACCNTGATGAGGTGTGCAACCTAATGATGATGTAGAGGGAGGGATGTAATCAAATGAATGGGAAAGGGGCACACATGTTATAGGCAGCAGCAGCACATATAGAGAATAGCACAGGGCCGGGAGAGTGAGAGTAAGATGGGAGAGTGAGAGTAAGATGCAACGGTGGCACTTCAATATGCACCATTGCATCCAACCGGGTGTGTGTCTGTATGTGTATCTGTGTGGGTGTGTGGGTGTGTCTCTGCGTGTGTGTGTGTGTGTGTGTGTGTAGGTGTACATCTCATACAACTATCTGACCGGGCCTGACACTGGCCAGGGGCTGCTGCCCAGTCCAATGGAAAGACCACCTAAGGGGTGAGATATGCCTCTGCCACCTCCTAATAAGCAGCTGACAGCCACAAGGCTCCATGACTGGCTCATCCACTCCTTTAGTGAGTTATACTGCACCCATGAATTTACTCACCTTCTCCTCCGGATTCGGCAGGGACCTTGTGTCGACCTGCCTCAGGTACTCAACTGTTTTTATGGAGTTCTGGAACTCCACGTCTGCCTTTGTACGGCAGACACGATGGACCATGAAGTCCATATAGCTGATTATTAGGTGCTGCACACGGGTAAGCATTGATGTTGTGGTAGGTGTGGGTTGTGGGGGTTGAGGTGGGGCTTAGGGTGGGGCGGGAGGTGGCATGTGTGGAGGGAGAGGATGGAGGGCATTGTATTCGCAACATAGGTGTGGCATGAGATGCGAAGCAAAAGTATAGTGTCTCCAGATTAGGGTTGCATAAATGGCGTGCGACAGCTATATGGTATTTAGGGTTTAGTCTCCATCTGTGTCACTTGTTGTTTTTGCTTGTCAGGTCCATACATCCAGCGAACTAATGTACCTAATCTTCACACCACAAAAGCACATACACATACACATACACATACACACCTGGTTGGAGACAGCCTCAACGACA